TGGGAAACGGCAAGTTGGGCATGGAGGAGGTCGTGTGAGGAGAATATGAAAGCCAATGGGTAGTCATGGAGTCAACTAAAGATAACTACAGAGGACAGGATGAAATGGTGATTGCCGTTGAATCCCTATGTTCCTCTCAGAACCCAAAGGAATAATAATAACAGTGGAATCCAATATGAGCCTATCGATCCCCTTAGGACGCGTCATCTGTATTTGCGAGCTTTCTAGGTCTTCCAGTGGGAATACCACCTCTCACTGAGGAGGTAAGTGCATATATGTGATAAGTCCTCAACCTAACGAAGTGCACATTCTTGATCATAGTGCTATTCACCACCGACCAAAAAACGTATTACATCTTATCCACTACAATGAAGTTAGTTACTTTGAATGTCGAGTTTAGCTGTTGAAGTTTATTCAGCACTATTATTAACTGACATATTCAATCATCTAACACCATCACATTATATTCCAACAAAAATCCATTTTATTCGCTTTGATAAGTTGTTAAAAAAGGCCAGAAATCTATTTCGAAAGTACCATAATGTTTTTTATTAACATACAGAGAAATACAGTAATGAATTTAAATTATTGTGAAAAATACGTGACTTTTCAATTGAACTTCGTCTAATATAGTCTCATTAGTTAATGAGATTTGCGTACTTTCTGATAATGTCACAAACAGATAAGAGAGACGGATTTCTGTCCATCACCCTGCATGATTAAGCAAATGATAAATAAGGTTTATTCATAGTTCTGTTGTTACAGAACATAAATTTGGTGTTAACAAGTCATTTCAAGTCATCTTTTGTATTTCTACCAATGTTAATTTCGCTTTACAAGTTAATTCTTAACATATGGCCGAAGGCACTGGCATCCACCTGAAGAAGCCAAACTCAGAAGAATAATTTTTCACAGCCGATTTCCTTGCCTCTGGCGTCAATAATTCATTGCAAATATCTGACGATTTTTACTTTTTTATACGTCATTCATAAGTTATTATTGTTTTAACAAACTTGTTATTCTATTCTTTGATTACTGCATTAACTTTCTTACTCATATTGAGCCTTAAATATGCTTGTGTACGGTAATATTTCGATCGTAATCATTCCACACTACCTAAGAATATCAGGTTTTCCAATAGTTCTCTAAGCGATGCCAGCCCATGATGAAATCCTGAAACCAATCAATCAAATTCCTAAAAACCAGTACTTGAATATCAATGAAATTATTATCAGTTCTATTCAGGTAGGTAATTAACTCGGGTTCTAGTGAGAAGTCGTGACCAGTGAGGTACAGCAGGTCGGGTATGTGAACAAATGCTCGCCGAAGACATTGCCAGTGGTCGCACTATGTCGTGAATTTGCAGAAGTTGGAAATCATGGGCCATTGGATCGGGTGGGTCCCAGTGGCTTAATGGTCTACGAGCTCACTAGCCTTGTAACCAGAAGGTCCTAGGTTCAAACCCCGGTAGGTGCGTTCTGCTGAAGAGTCCCAAACTAGGCTGATGAAACAGCTGTCCAGTACTCCCAGGTTTTCTAATGGTTCTCTAACCGATGTCAGCTCATGATGAAATCGTGTAACTAAGAATATCAATGTTGTCAATAACAATCACTCTGTAATTATCATTCATATATAAATATGTATATATATATAATATATATATATATGTTTAACTTATTAGACAGATGAGGAATTTAACGCGAAGATTATTTCCCAACTAATCATTTTGTCTTCTAAATGTCTAAATGGGAATTTTCTTTGTAGTTAAGAGCAAAACAGCTGTGTTTTAATCGAATAAAGAACTTATCGAAAGAAAACGAAGACAAAAATTCATTATTGAAAGAGTGGGATTTGAGTAGAGGAACACAGGAGTTTAGCTACATCCAGAATAATTGGGCCTGCTAAGTTGAATGAACCAGAAAAAACGATAATCATTTCAATGCTTTCACTCGCATACAATCAAGCATTAGGTTGGATTAGAGATGCAATTCAAAAAGTAGTATAGGTAGCTGGTGGAAAACGTTGATCACTGAATAGCTGGTCATTGAGTTCACACTAAACATGCGCGATTAGAATGACTCTACACCGCTACCGAATATATGGAAAGAACAAATTTAGCTCAAAACGTCATCCACTTATTTATACTGTTTCACTGAGTCTTATGTCGAATAAATCCAACTAATATGAACAATCATTACTTGTCCGCACACAATGGAGTCGGCAGTAACAATGGCAGCTTCATGTGTAAATGATATTGGCACATTTCAGGCTAAGGTGAATTAATGGTCTAATCTGTTTACCGATGGACGCGCTTTTCATCCTGTTTACTCATCATCATATGCATGTACCCACATCCAAAGTGACTGCTGGTGTCACCTATCAAAACTTGTGCATGGCACTCATTGTTCCAAACGCCAAAGAGGTGTTATCCACCAGGTAACGGAGCATGCATCTTGTGCAATAAGTATTAGTTGTTATTTGTTGCAGTAATTTTCAGTAAATTCCAGTGGATTCCATTGCTAGCCACTGCCAACCTGGTAACATTCTATTCATCCCAAGGCATCTTCGAAGCGTCCCTACTAGACAAGCATAGGTCAGCATAGACTGAACATTTCGGCCCAGTATAAACAACGAACGGAAAATTCCAAATAACTTCAATAAGTGACACTAAGTTATCATTCGTGTTCATAATCTTCATTTAGATACTTGAATGACAGTCAAATGTGAAAATGTTATCACTGTCATGTGTAACAGGATTTTCTAAAGAAACTGACTGGGCAGGGTATTTCCTTATGATCAGTACGACAAAGTACAGAGATTCTGTTATACACTGGCCCTGTTTAGACAGAGTGCGGTAAAACATAAACTGTAACCATTTCTTGCCTTAATTCAGTGATAAAATCACTCTGATTTGCTTGAGGCTGGTTCAGACTTAAGTGTTGGTAAACTGACAATCACTATAAAAACTAGATTTCGTCAAGTTTAACTTACATTTATGCTGTTTTCATGAAACTGTTAGTGAGAATCAACTTGCAGCGACTTGTCACTTTATCTGAAGTGTATTTGTCTTGTATTTGTCTTTGTGTTTAGCATGCAAAGACACAAGACACACATCTACAACCTGTAGGTACGAATTCACTCGCCTTTATGTACAGAACGTTATGTCAGAATGAAGTAATTGTTTAACTAAACCACTTAATATTTCAATTTCGCTCTTGTATTTCAATTACTTTTCTCAACCTGTCATTTACAAATATATTTCTTTAGGCTATATATTTCAAGATATTACTGGGAAAAAAATCTTTTGACGAACTGACAGAAGCGAATTCACAAGTGAAAGGCAGTTTTGTCTTCTTGTATATTTACGAAGGTGTTGGTTTGATGCCTCCCACCTGAAAGAAAAGAAAAGGTAAATAGTAGTGGAATTAAAGATTTAATCTTTTATTAAAGAAATCAACATGGTGAAAAGGAATAAATTTGTCAATAACACATAGTCAAACTATCATAAGTTATATGAGCGCTAGTCAGCGAACGAATTAACTAAGGAAACAGTCATGTTTAAATGCATCTAGTGATATTGCATATAATTCTGGACTTCTTTGTGTTCAAGTGACACTTAACTTTTCTGAAGTCAATGTCTTTTGACTTACCTCTTATATCTTCGATAGAAGTGTGTTTCTGTTCAAGTTTCGAAGCCTTGTTGGTAAAATCTCAGGTCGTAGAATAACAGAAACTTGTCTTTAACCTCATAGAGGTTAATATATCCCTGGCGAAAAATTATTCGAGAACCTGATTCAATTTTAAGATTACATGTTCAAGAAATATTTTGAACAAAATTATAAATGAGCAATTAATGAAAAATTTCAATTCTCACTGTCATTTTTTCTCCGACAATACGTTTTTTGAAACTGTCACATCTACATGAAAAGGTAGACAGATTTGAACAAATGTTTCAAAGGGAATGAGAACAAAACATCTGGGCATAGCTGAAGCTTTACTGATCCTGAAATTCAGGCTATTTCTGCGTAAAATGTAATATTTGTTGTCGTTACAACAATGATAACCAGTTATGCGGCGGGTACATTTTTTTACGCAGAATAACAGATTAGTTATGGGGTGTCAAAATAAATAGTCATATTTCTGTGACAAACGTGAAATGGGACACAGTGGTGGTGATTAGTCATGATAGATTTATAAAGTTCAGGGGAGGGAACTCGACAAGCCAGTTTAAGGTTATAAAAGGTGTCAGGTGAGTGGCTAGTACAAAGAAGTATGTATTAAAGAGAAGAAAGTAGGACTGCAACTAGAGATTCATCAAGACATAATCAATGTGTGAGATGAATCAAGTGGAGAAAAGAGATAATACTATCAGTAATAAGTCTGGATAGTATAAATGGGACTTCCGATCTCCG